GCCATGTGTCCTCAAGGACACATGGCACAGTGGATAATGTTGTGATAATATGGCGACAAAGATGAATAATAGTCTGAATAATGTAAATAGTGCATCTCAGAAATATAGAAAGATTCCAAAAACAATTCTTTGGATTTTTGTTTTTGCTTAAAACTAAACTTTCTATTCCTGGTACTAATGATAAAAAGATACAAATATTTATTGATTTTAACTATCAGTAAAACTAAAATATACAGATCATAATAACATCTCTAAGTATGATGTAAATTCATTTTACTTGTGTTAAAAAAAAATATTAAAAATATGAAATGTGCAAGTTTCTACTCAGTTCTTGAACAGTCCATAAAGTTCACTGGTTTAAAGTCGGTTTCAGTTCAAAATAAAATTTTTATTTTTAATTTCTTTTTAAACATTGTTAATTCACCAATTCAGTTTTATAAATTATTAATTTAATGATTATAATCAAAATTATGTAGGATAAACACAAAATGAATTCATGTTATTGTTCTACCAGGCTCTCTTTTAAGACAATTTTTATTATTTTTTTTTAAGTGTTGTTTGCATTTAAAAACCTAGAAGAAAAATTTAGAATCTTATATGAAATTTTATTTTAAAATTCAAATTTTCAATTATTCTTAATTAGAAATTAAAAATAAAATTCCATATAAGGAGTTTTGATCAGCACTTATCCAAAGAAAAATATGAGGGTGGTAATAGGCATTTATGTTTCCTTTGGCAGGAATTATATAAAATAGGAAGTTACTTTTCAATCACCCTGTGTATTACATTAAAAAATATAAAAAGTGATGATAATGTTTTTCAGTGGTGGAATTCAAATAAAAATGAATTTCCCATCATGGCACTTTTAGCCAGGAAATATCTATCAGCACCTCCCTCTTCTGTTGAAAGTGAATGGTTATTTAGAATTGGAGGCAACATTTACTTACCAAAAAGAAATTGGTTGAAAGGGGAAACATTATAATTTAAGAATTTTAGGACTTAAATATGAGTAGCTAAGTACTTAAGTGATTTACGTAAAGAAATTGTTCTCTTTATTGTTTAAACTCTTACTCAATTTTTTAAATAAAAAGGATATCTAACTATTTTATAAGCTTTTGTATTCATTTTCCTACTAAATGAATCATAAATGTACTTTGTTCATTTCCCAAACCAACTGTAGGGCCTGAAAATAATGAATTTTAATCATTGTATATATCGGAATCATATCAGAATTGGAAAATTAGAACAATATCAGGAATTGCATTGGAATCAGTAAAAATATTGGTATCGTTCCATCACTAATAAATATCATTTTTAGTGTTAGCATGTCTGCTTTTTTCTTTAACAATGAAATTAACAACTAAACTAGATTTAAAAGTCCTACTGAGGAAAAATGTACCTCCTGAACCTGTCTACATTTTTTCCATCAGAGAAACAGCTTCTATAGCGGAAACATGTCGCTACCAATTTGGCTACAGGAGACCACCATGTTAAAGCAACAGGAATGTTAACTCAACTTTTAAGAAATAATATCAGATTAAAAAATTAATTTAAAAATAGTGGCAGAGTTTATGTTTTATGCATTAAAATGAAGCTAATGGATATAGATTGGAAGAAATCTCAACAGATGTTCACCCCTTAAGTAGTAATTGAGCTTTGGTTTATTATATTATTTTCCCATGTCTAAATTAGTAAATGCAATATAGGTTCAAATGAGAATATAGATTCAGTTCCTGACGTCAGCCACCTTCTTTGTAGTAGGGTTTTTCAATCTAGGCTGGTTGATAATAATTTCACTGTTTAAAAATAATAATAAAAAATAATGGGAATGTCAACGCAAACATTTTCACCCACTAAAAAAGTAACATTTATAATAATAAAGAAAAGAATATATATCAATAGACATGTCTGTAAATCCTTATAGTAAATTTCTCCTGGTGTTGAACAAGTTGTTTGATGCCTGGTGCTAACTTGTAAAAGATCTTGCTAAAACTGTTTGTAATGTTTCAAATACTTTCAACTTGTCATTTTCAAGGAAAGACCGGTAAAGGTCAAGAGCTAGACAGTAGAGCAGCTACGTTGTTAAGGGTGTGGGGTTTGAAATGAATGTTGGTTTCACATGCTATACTGGTGGAATCGATTTAATCATCACATTTCCAAAATGAGGATGGGTGCTGAAAATTTTTCAGTCTGACCTATTTCCCAATACCTGACCAAAGAATCAATGTCAGAATTATTTTTTGGAAAGACTTCTTGGCCAAGAAAAGAAATTTCTAGCAACTCTTCATATATGGTTAAAATTTATTTATGGGAGAAGGAAGAATGCTCAATATGTAGATATAGCATAGACATAGAAATCAACAATGAAAGTGACTGGATGTTTCACATCTTAAATGATCATCAAATCATAAGCAATGCCTTTTCATATGGGTTCTATATAAAAGTCTCTTACGGGGAAAGGGAAGGGAGAAATTAGTTTTTGGTATTTCTTTTTTTCAGGTTAACATTTGTTCATGGCCCTGGGCTTATATTTGCTTATTTTATTTATTATTTTGTTTTATTTAATTATACTAGACATACATGTGAAAATTTCACGGTTTTCCTATTTAATGTTCTGATGAATCTTTTCTTAAATTAATAATTGACTAAGCTCATGGCACGTTCTACAACAATAAAGTATCCATAGAAATTCTCTATCATGCTGTTAAATATTTGAGCTTAACAACTTTAATGAAATATTACAATAACAATCATAAATATGACTGCTGGTTGTCATTTTAAGAAGTGGGTACAAATGAAAAGACTTGAAATTAACAACTTTTTTTCTATTCCACTGAAACAGCATTAAACACTTCTATCTTCCTTTTCTTTCTTTCTTTCTTCCTTTTCTTCATGTTTTCAGTGAACTCAAGTAGATTCTTTCATATGTGTTTTGTTTATCAAGATGGAGCAGTTTATTATTTATGAGGTATTGACAGGAGACATTAAACACTTTTATCTGCCTTTCTTTCTTTCTTTCTTTTCCCCTCTTTCCACATGATCAAAATTGAATAGCCCATTATTTATGAGGTATTGGCAAGATATAATGGTCGTGTGAACTAATGAAGAGAGGGGCAAGCACAATTATAATAGGATTTTTATTTACTTATTGTTCATATTCTTTCTTTGGCTGTAAAGTTTTCTTGTATTGTTTTTTTAAAGCAAATTTATTCATTTTAGGTTATGTGTATCAGTTGTTTAGTCTTTGGAGTTGTGATATGGTTGTAAGGAGCATAAAAAAAATTTATTTCCATGCCTGTATTTGGAAATGAGCACTAAGCTATTTTGGAGTTTATAATTTTCTGGCAATATCATAGCAATGGTCACTTATTCCACACTGTTTTCATATATTTTATACTGCATTTAAGTAATCCATAATCTGTAAAAGACATTTTACTCAGAAGAGAACATTTTTTTTTCTGGTAAATTTGATGGTATTTAAATTGATAGTATATCAGGAAAGCAATCATAAAATCCAGATGTTTTTTTTCCTTTCACATACTTCCATACATTATATTAAGTTATACTACTAATGATACCTGTACCATTTAAACATGGTTGAGTCATTCATGACTAAACCAGTTCCTTCATCAGGTGTTTCTGGCAAGGTAGCTGGCCTTTAAACAAGATTAAAAAACAAGACCTGTCAAAGGGCAGATCAACCTTCTTGTAAGGTCAATGGCCATCAAGAACAAGAGGATAGACTGAGTTAAATAGCTATGAATGCAGCCAGTGCAATGACAACCCAGCATCACTGGGTAGGGAGCTTTTTAGACTGAAGTCAAATGGCCATGGTGGAGGATTCCCTTGATGGAATCATTGGTTACTTGTCCATGACAAAAATGAGCCTTTAAATTGGAGAGCATCAGCTGTAGTTTGGCTTGGAGAGGGATGGACTCTGACAGGTCTACTTGTCCAAGACACACTACATTCAAATGAATACTTCTCTGACTTTCATCTCAGATATGTAGAGAGAACAGGTCAGATGCTTGGTTGCACAATCACCCTTAAACCATACCCAGTCAAGGAACTAATGATATTAATGATGACTATCTGTAAATTCAGGGTTTTTTCTAGCTGCTGGACCTTCTCCCTCAATTAAGCATGCTTCTCCCATATAGGCCTTGCTAAGCCTCCAAGGACCTGCAACAAATGTGGAAGATTCTCTCAATTATTTGTTTGGAAAGTCAAGTCATAATAATGATAATGGTGTGAATTATTTGGTGACATCTCAGTAAAGCTACTAACTTATTTGAATTTATTTATAAAAGGTTTTAATTGGCCGTAGAGAAAGGATTTTTAAAAATATTGGTTTCAATGGTGCATTTTGATTGGCTGGAAAATTGATGGAGAAGGCAACAGGAAACCACTCCACTATCTTTTCCAAGAATGCATGGCAATTCACAAATAATAAAGAAAAGAAATCTATGTTGACTCATGATGCCTAGAAGGAAAACTGTGAAGATGGCAACAGGAAACCACTCCACTATTAATCACATATTCACAAGACAAGGCAAGCTTTCAAGTCATAGGTCATTGACTGTTGTTTGACCCATAGAGAGATAAGCTACACCTCTCCAGCTTCCAACCCAGATATGTGGAGGGAACTCTGTGACCAAAGCAAGCCTTCATGTTGGAGGACATTAGCTGTAGCTTGACCCAGAGAAGGATGGTCTCTACCAGGTCTACTTGTCCGAGACATACTATGCACAAATGAATATTTCTCTGGCTTTCAACCCAGATACGTGGAGAGAACTTGTCAGGTGCTCAGATGCACACCAACCTTGTGACTAAACACGGTCATGGGAATGATGATGATGATGATGACTCCCATATCATTGCCTTTTCTGGAGGCCTGATCATCTAGAATGAGAAACCTGTAGTGATAAAATTTCTTCCAAGAATTTTCATTGTTTTTTTTTCAGAGAAAAGAATTAAAACAAAGAAAGTCAAAAACATACTCATTGACCCGCTGACACTGTTCAAAACGACGAGTCATGGTAAGGACCTCAAGTAAATATTCCTCTCCTTCAGGCGTAAAAATTCCACCAGGTAATTTCAATATAAATTTCTGAAATAAAACAATAAACAAGCTTTAGTAGATGACAACAATAACAATGAAGATAAAATTTTAAGAAAGTTGCTGTGATTTAATCCCATAACAATAACCAAGAGACATCAAAAACAGATAATCCATACACAACATACAGAGAGCAGAAATTTGTTAAAACAAATTTTACATCAAGATTTGTAAAATTCAATACATTTCTATAGAAAAAATCATTAATAATACATTAACACTACATTGATGTCCTAAGAAGCCCTTTAGTGTCATGTAACAGCTCATTGGTGGTTTTAGCTTATGACTGAAACAGATGTAATTAACCAGTTGTAGTTCAGCAAACAAGAGAAATAAGAACATAAACATTATGACTAGGGATGTGTCACATCCCTTTGGGGGACATTACAATCAAGTCATTTTCTATTTGTTCCTTCCAAGCATAACAAAGCAAATACTGAATCAGTTGAAATTTCTGGGAAGTATAATGAAGAAAGGAGGCTTGAAGAATCTGAAACTCACAAGACATATTGATGGCAAAAGGGGCAGAGGAAAGCAGTGATCCCTCATATCCTGAAGGGTCACAGCATATACAAGGAGAATCCTTTAGAGTGAAGTTTTGATGAATTTGATAAATCCTACCCAAGATAATTATTATTAGCTGTAATAGCTCTGCTACTGATACGAGCAGGTCAAGATTGTATAAGTGGTGGTGAGGGTAAATAAATCAAAATTCCAAGCATAACGAAGCAGATACTGAATCAGGTTTGTTAAAATTCTTTGTATGTTTCAGAAAAATCACTCCATGCAGAAAGTTGGGGTGGGGTATAAAATATGGCAGGAATGGAAAGAAGCTATTTGAGACAGAAGTGACTCTAGACAGATTAAATTTCAAAATGCTGGAATGAACCAACTCTCACTTTTACCCAGGAGGAAAATATAAAAGACTTTTACCCAGTAGGAAAATATGAAAACGGAGTGTGAGATAAAAAAAAAAAAAAAGAAAAAAATCTAATTGCCTCTGTTAACAGCAACCACTTACTTTAATGAGTACTTTTACCTGGTCATTTGCAGAGATCAAATATAATATGAGACTAGTTCCTGGAGATCAATTTTCCCCAGACAGCACCTTCCTAATGTACTAAAAGAGGTGAGGTTAGTGGGTACATTGCAAACAGCAGAAATATTCCAACAGAATTTTTGTCACTAAAAATGTAGATAGGTTCTCATGATTTAAAAAAAAAAAAACAAAAAAAAAACCTTGGGCCAATCTCAATGTTCTGGCAATCTCATTTTGTTGAAACATTTTTGATGAAACATTCAGGTAACTTTCATTTTCATTTTAACTCTTTACTAAATAACTAATTTTAGCATTTGGTACAATATATTTCTGTAAGAATATCAGCATGCAATAAATGGTTTGGTTTATTTTGTTTTATGGCATATCAACCTCAAGGAGTTATTTAATACCAACAAGATTTTTAGGATAGGTCCTTATGAAATGAATATGTATTTTTTGTAATAAATCAGTTTCATTGATGTATTTTTGTAAAGAGGGTTTTTGTTAAGTGTGAAATGTATTGCTGATAATATTTTTTTTTCAAAAAACGTATTGCTGGTAATGTTTTTTTTTTCAAAAAATGTATTGCTGATAATATTTTTTTTTCAAAAAACGTATTGCTGGTAATATTTTTTTTCCAAAAAATGTATTGCTAGTAATATTTTTTTTTTCAAAAAATGTATTGCTGGTAATATTTTTTTTTCAAAAAATGTATTGCTGGTAATATTTTTTTTTCAAAAAATGTATTGCTGGTATTTTTACTATAAAATCTACTTTTATATTTGCGTAGTGTTTTGATTTGGGGGTTAACTATTTGACCATAGCTGGGATCAAACAGGCTCTACCACCTCAGGTAAGGGTGAACCTGGGAACAACAGCAATTAAGAGGTGGTTCTACACTCCTCAAAACCTCCCGATCAGAGGCCTTGCTAAAAGATGTAGTTTATCATCATACCCAGGATGGCAATAAATAGGTACAGAATGATATTAAATTAGAAAGTCCTGTCACATCTTAGACTTTTGCCAAGTGTATTTGTGTATAATTGAATGTAACAGACCCAACTGGAATTCAAACTGGGCTCTCCGATTTCTTGTCCCAAATCAATATCTATTACATCACACCACATCTTCAAAAAAATCTTTTATTTTTTTAAATAAAAAAAAATAAAAAGCTTATTTACCTTGACTACAGATGCCAAAGTATAAAAGTTGTAATTGGCAAATACCACAGGTTTTCCTTCTTGTAAACGTTTAACAATACGCCGTGTGTCGTTTGGGTTGCCCGGCCTTCGAAATAAATCAGTTGTTGCGACCCCTTCTTTGGCTATATAGACTAGAAGCTCCTGAAAAGTATGAGAGAAATATTATTAAATATGACATAATACAATGATAGAACTAAATACAGTATGTATCATTTATAAGATAACAAGATAAGTTTAAAACTTATTTATTAGAGTGAAGACAGGTGATTTTTTTGTTTTTGTTTTTGTTTCATCAATTCACCCCAAGCAAAGCGATAAAAGCTATTAAGTCAAAAGGGGTTCCTGAGACTGAAAGAAACATAAAGAATAATGGTACTACGCATAAATTTGTGAAGTCAGGTACCAAAGAGGAAAGTTCATCAGAACAATTGCCATGAAAATATTTACAGAAAAAGCACAGAGAAGCTACATTATGGCAGTAGGAAAGTGATTAAAGCCAAAATGACAGATTCTTCTTTGGATTTTAAAAATCTCTACATAGCAAAAGCTTCAGACCAGATGTAGAGCAATGAAAATAATGAAATCCTAAGCTACATTTAAGATGTGGCAACACAGACAGCCTTCTTCAAAACAACAAATCAGAACATACTTTCCTTATATAATGAATCACTGGAAGTGATGAAATACTTTTAACCCTCCATTAGTATTGTGAGGTGTTTGAACAGTCTACAAAATGTTTTTCTTAAGTATTTAGTCAAATTTCCAGGATTAGTCACATAGCTTTCCAAATATTTCTCCCAGTGAGATTTTGATTTTATTTAAGATTTAGATGAATTAAAAGCCATTTTATTTGTTTAGTGGTGCAAAAGTATCTTGTACTAACAGAGTGATTTTTCTATTTTTTTCAGATTTTGAGATACACCTTTTAACTTGGTTTAATAATACAATAATAAGCAAGAATATAGGTTTTGAAGTAGTTAAGGACATAGGCAATTATGACTCTCCACAGATTCCTTTTCTTTATTATCTGTAAATTGCTATGTTTTCCAGTGCATTTTCCACAATTTGTAATTCAGAGTGTTCCTTCTCTCAGTGTGGTTGCTATGCAAAGCTAGGAAGCTTAAGTTTACCTTTTTATTTAATCCATAGTGGGAGGAAAAGAGATGGATTCATGCCTTTTCTAAGGACATTAGCACAAACGGGGACAACAAACTAGACCAGAATTTCAACAGCTCACAAATTCGACTTTCTGTGTCAATATCCATTACACTAACCTGCACAAGTTGTTAGTTTTGTATATAACTTGTAGTTTTCCATCAATATAGCCTGGGAAAATAATATTCATATATCAAGAACATTTTTGGGGAATACTACAAGTGGAAAAAGTTTTAGGACAACATCAGATTAAAGTGATTTTATGTTGATGTGACTACACATGTGCACGAAGGAGAGGGGACATTGAAAATTTTTAATTTAAATTTTAAAAAAATTTAAATTAAAAATCTTCAGTGTTCCTTTTCCTTTGAGCACAAGAGTAGTTACATTATCAATATAACTTCTTTATATGCCCTTATGGCCACATATAATGTACAATAAGAAACATTTAAAATGTATTGCTGGTAATATTTTTTTTTCAAAAATATTTTTTTTCTTTTTTAAAAATGTACTGCTGGTAATATTTTTCTTTTCTTCAAAAATTTATTGTTGGTAATAATTTTTTTCACTCATATTTCAGTTTTCTAATTCTTCCACACCCAGTAACCTCTTGTGTCTTAGTGACTTTACTGCCTTGCTTGGGGTGAACTCAATTAAAAAAAAATTTACGAAAGGCTTATATTAAAAATCCATCAAAATAAGTTCTAAATTAGTAACATTTATTTTTGTCTCTTTCAACTTTCTGACTGGCGTATTAGTAAAAACTAGTTTCTGATAGATTTTTGGAGAGTTCTTTTTGTCTTTCGATTGCTAGAAAGTTTAATTAATATGGTAACTTGTCGAGAAAATGTTCCTGATCCCTCATATGAACAGACTGGTCAGATCAAGGAAAAAAAGCAATAGCACCTACCTTAAGTTGCAAAATAGATTGTTGTTTTCTGCAACATATAACAGTCTGATAACTTTGTAACATGGAAGGTAATTTTAAAAAAAGTGATAGATTTCCTCCCCTTTTATACAACTTAAGGGATCATGTGGTAACCCTGTCACATAACCACTGTAACTATAAAAGTCTAGTAAAATAATAACAAGCTACACTGCTTCTTTCCCACCTGACCAACAGTCAATTTCTCCACAAACTATTACAAATGAAAGACTAAGTGTCTTTGATCATGTAAATGTTTATGGTAATGATTGCTAAAATCAGAAACAGTTTCAAACTTACCACAAATGGATGGGGTAGGTAGCCATGTTTCAATGCAACTGAAAGGGGAACACCAAATTTAAGTCTGCAAAGAAATAAGAAAGTAACTTAAAATTTGACTTTTTCATTTACATACAAAACTCAAAAACAGAAATCAATGACCCCAATTTTAAAACTGAGTCATTCTTTAAATAATTCAATAAATGATTCACAATAGAAAAAAAATTGTTAATGGACACAGAGATCCAAGCCAAGTATATTAACCTTATTTATATTATTTACTTCATTATCACAACATTATATCTGCTCTGCTCTCTGGCCTTCATCAGGTACTTGTCAATCTGGGTAACCTTCAGGGAATTTCGAACTGAACCCTTTATTTAATCTACAGATTGTTCTCGTTCCGCTGTCCATGTCTAGAGGTATCTTGTCTAATTCTTATTTTAGTACTGCTCTGTTATTGTTTGTCCCATTTCCACTGAGTCCATGTCTTTACTGCCTGACCAAGGGATTGAACTATGTCACAAAACAATGTTTTATCCTGGTAGGCAATTGTAATAGTGATTTCAGTCTCTGGGCTAGGCAGTACAGACTTGGATTCAATGAATAAAGTTCTGTTTAAATCTGTAGTACAAACAATGGTCATTAAGGTGTCATAAACTCTAACCTCTCAATGACATCTATTTTATAAGTCTTCATAAAAACATATAAGGTTGAGTCATAAATAATTTCCGTTTTTGTGAATGAATTGTAATGGTGAATGTATCATCCTAACTATCAATCATATGTGGCAGTTAAATGGAGTACACTAACATATAATACATAGACAGATATATAGACAGATAGATAGATTATGTTGAGTCATAAGTAATTTCCGTTTTTGGGAACCAATTGTAATGACGAATATCTCATCCTGACTACTAATCATACATAGCAGTGAAATGGAGTACACTAACATATGATAGATAGATAACTAATGCACTAGTCATACATAGAAATAAATTCAACCACAATTTTGATTTTAAAAATACTACACTCATAAAAAAGAAAATAACTCACTCAGAAGGAAAATTCTTGAGAGTGTCGCCATTGAATATTATCCAAATATTAATCTACGCCCGGGCTTTTTCCTTATATCACCTTTCCTAACAGAATTACTACTCTCCCAAACAAACGTACACAACTGTATCAAGAAATCAAAAGAAAATGGTTGAATCCATAAACACAACAATAAAAACAATATTTCCACACATGACAGCACTTGATGTAATTTTCAGTTGATAATATGAATATAACAGCATTTTCTAAATTCTTCCAGTTGCTAAGGACATTTTGTTTTGTTATTATTGGTTACTTTGTTTTAATAAATTCATTTCGTTTTTGTCTTGAAAAAGTCCGCGTTGGACAAAATGTGTCGGCAAATATTACAGTTTTCCTATTGTCTTTATAAAGAGATATGGTTGAGTCATAAGTAATTTCCGTTTTTGGGAACCAATTGTAATGACAAATGTCTCATCCTAACTACTAATCATCTGTGGCCATTAAGAATAAATTTAGAGTACATTAATATACCTTAGTTTTTTTAGATGGCATTGGTAGCATACACAGTGGATTAAAGAATATATTTCTTGACCTCACCAATGGAGGGCTTGAAAGTGCCTTTACATCACATTAGGTTATGGGGGTTCAAGCAAGGGAATAATGCTATGAAGATATCTGGAATAATATGTAATGGTTATGGGTAAGGGGCCATAATTGACCGACAAGTAGGATATTGGTTGACAAAGTTTAATTTTGGAGAAACATCATCAGAAGATGAACCCAAATCAGGGTGTTCATCAGACTTTCACAATAATTTCCATTTCCAGGAACCAAATGTAATGATGAACATATCGTCTTAGCTATGAATTAAACATGGAAGTTCAGAATAAATTTGGGGTACATTAATATACCTTAGTTTTTTTACATGGCATTGGTAGCATACACAGTGGATTAAAAAGTATATTTCTTGACCTCACTAATGGATGAATTGAAAGTGTGACAGAGAGAGTCTGGGAAACACACACACACACACACACACGTATATTTTTTTTAATGAAATTGGGTGGATTTGAATAGCGAAATTAGATCAGAGCATTTTTTTACCGATGAGGAAATTTAATCTAGGGCAGAAGTTGTACCCATTGAATCTGGGTCATCAGTAGACAATGGAAATGGTCGAAATATTTTTTATCGATTAAAAATTGAAATAGAGCTGAGTAAGCTAAAAGGAACTTTTGAATTCACATGATTTTGATTGAAACAGCCAAATCCCCATGATAATCACGTGCAAAGCAGTAGAGCCAAGATTCAGTTGTAACCAGCTGGATTTTTCTATATAGACGCATAGTTATGCTGAAAAACACAGACGGGGTTGAAACAGGCAGAACCCCAGAGAGCGAGACGGAAGAAGCAGATGGAAGAGGCAGACGGAAGAGAGCAACAAAAGAGAATTAGCCCGGGCAAGAGTTGGGCTAGAGACAGTGGAGAGTCGAGTTAGAGACTCAAGAAGGAAAGAACAAACGTCAGAGATTGGAATGTTCCAACATGTGCTGTTGATATAATTACCACTGCTTCTGCTACCATGAATATTACTACTACTGTTACTACTGCTAAGGAGGAATGCCACTATAAACTTTAAGCTGCACACAGAAATCTTATTCCCCCATCGCAAGAGTCGTATATCATTCTGAGACGATTTAATAAGTTAATCATAACACACCAGTATCGGGTGTATGCATTTTTACGTCAATTACTTTTCTTTTCTGTAACCCGTTTCTTTTCTATACTATTCTTTTCTGCTGTATAAAAGACATTAACAATTCAATCATTGAATAGTTGTTCGTCTGGCTTTCTGCAGATATTAATTTTTTTTTTTTTTGCTGCATTCTAAATTTCTTAGTGCAGACTCTCCAGCCGTGTCTACATCTTCAGTCTATGGATGAACATCACTTCTGCTTTCTGGATCAAACCAAACACAACGTGGGCAGGAAGCAGGAATCAACCAGTGGACCGGTCGAATAATCTACGGATGCTCAGGGGACCTATGGCCACTCCCTTAAGTTCAGTTAGGACTGAGTAGACATCTCAACCCAGAGAGTAAGACATCAGAGGTTGAGGGGCTGGGGCAAAAGTGTTAGAAAGTGCATTTACATCAAAATGTTATGGGGGTTCAAGCTAAGGAATAACACTATGGTGACATCTAAAAAAAAAATGTAGCATTTTTTTAATATCAATAATCACCCAATACAAGGCTCAAGAGACACTCAAGGTAAGATTATTGTCTGGTGCTGTATGGCCATAAGAAATGGCAAGAAGTGAAGTTCATGGGGTTATGCAGGAAAGATAAGTGTTAACCCTAGACTTGAAGAGGTCAAGATTGTAATGATTGGGAAAACATCCTGCCAGAAATCTGTTCCACAAAGTATCAGTTCTAAGGAAGAATATATCTGAGTGGAACTTCCTCCTTACTAATGGAATACAAAAGGAATAAGGATGATTCATTCCTGTGTACATGGTATATTAGGTCATTTAATATACTAATTTTCATCCAATACAAGATCCAAGAGCCACTCAATATAGAGGGTTACTAGGTGGTGTTGTATGAGTGTAAGAAAAGGCAAATTACAGGGTGCCCCTAAAGTGTGGACACCCTAAACATAAATGCATATTTTCAAGAAATTAAATTTTCAACATTTTATTGAATTGGGATATTAACAAATAACATCTTCAATATGATTTCCATCATTTGTGATGCAACTGTTGATGTGCTTTGTAAGATTGACATAACTTGATGCAGTGACTCCATATCAATTTTAGCACATTCGCTCTTTATGCATTCAATCAAATATGTTGCATCTGTGATTTTCATTGAGTACACCTTCTCCTTTAGCATATGCCAGAAAAAGAACTCAATTCTTGCTTCCTTTGACAAAACCATGTTTAACCCCATAGATGTGTATATACATTTTTACTGTGTCTTTTACAGATACAGATGAATAAACATGTCCAAAACAGAATGTTCAAAAACCAGCTACAGACATGTTTATACATCAATCTGATTCTTTTTACGCCCTTCTAAGCTTTAAATGAGTCCAATTATCAACACATGTCTGCTAGAGGTGTTAGAGACTGCTTGGATACTTCAAGGTGCTTCAGTTTCTTAGTTACTATATAAAAACAAATAAAATAATTCATTTGAAAATGAAATGTTTTTCCAAAATAATTGGCAAGGAAGGGGTTAATCTGTGGAGGAAAAAAAAATATAGTTAATGAGATTTCCTGTGTCTAGACTTTAGGGAGGGACACCTTGTAGTTTGCAAAGTTTTATTTAAGAGAAACATCATTGGAAGATGAACTCAGATGGGGAGATCCACTGGACTTTGATGATGAAGCTCGAAGGTCATTGGTGGAAAGCAATCCTAGGCAAATGATATGAGAATTAGCAAAAATACTAAACACATCACAATCTGCCATATATCAACACTATATAGGAAATAATGGTGAATATACAACTGCATAAAATATAATTGTACTGTATTTTCTGAAGAATAAAATTTTTTTTTTAAAAAAAAAAAAAAAGGAAGTTATTTATGACTCAACATAATAATTTAGAATTATACACATATTCATTACTGCAATAAAAATCTGGAAAAAAACTTTAATTTTCAACAAAACACAGATATGTAAAATCTTTTTGAAATACCTCTGGATATTTAAATTGATTTCTTATCAAAGAGTTTAAGATGGGAATTTTCAAGTTGATTCAACAAACACATAGTCCAAATACATGATCTCTTATTAGGGTTTTATGTGGGCAATGAATTAATTTCAACCCTACAACTCCTTTCCTATAGATGAAACATTGCAAACACCTTTACTACTCTACAGCTATTTTCATAGCAATTGTTCAAACAAACTAGATTTCTTAGTTACACCAGTTCAGACATTCACAGCTAAGACCAGCTATGTCATGTATACAAGTTGGAATCATCCTTATTCTCTTTGTATTTTAATGGTAAGGAAGAAGTTCTACTCAGTTTCTTC